TTGTTCCATTCCATATCAGCATCTTCTTCTGGCAGGTTTGCTCTACTCAGTGCATCTCCTATTGGTATTTCCTTTCCTGGCTTGTACTCTAGTTTGATATCATATGGTTGCAGTCGTAAGAAGCATGCTCTGCAGTCTCATTGGTGCTGAGAGTAGTGGCTTCGTATATATAGCCTGCAATGGTTTATGATCACTCTCTACGTGGACTTCTCTGCCGAATACGTAATGATGAAACTTGCATGAGTGCACCACTGCTAACATTTCCTTTTCTATCTGCGCGTACCTTTTCTCCGTCTCCGTTAGAGCCCTTGATGTGTACGCTACAGCTGCCCTTCTTGTAGTAGTACCCCTAAGGCGCAAAGCTGCTTGTATCACACTGGATTCTTATCTCCTTATCAGAATCGTAATAGGCTAGTACAGGTGTGTTGCAGCATAGATCTCTGGTATGAACATCTATCACTGTGAATACCTTGGCTCTGGCCTGCTGCCAGAACTTCTTCTATGGTGGGTATTGGGTATTTGTTCTCTTCGTATTGCCCGGTTTAGATCCTTGGGTCAATACATATCCTGATTTTATCTTTCTTCAGGACTACCACCATAAAGCTCACCCCAGTCGCGTTGGGCTTACTACTTTAGTATTTTGACCTTCACTCTCCATCTCCTTTAGCTTTTCCTAACTTTTGGAGGAGAGCTTGAGGCTGACATCTTGGTCCGTGAACTACAGGTTGGACTGTTGGATCAATCCTGAGATGATATATACCTGGGAGTGTACCAGTTGTCTCCCTTAGCTCAGGGTATTTGTCAATCTCTTCTCTCAGTGTTACTTCATGTATTCGTTCGATCAGACCAAGTTTCGTACTTGCTTGGCCTGACAGCAGTGGCTTTGTTGCGCATCCACTACGTAGAATGTAACATTTGTTGTCTGATCTTTGTACTGTGCCTTCAGAGTCGTGCATTCGAGAGATCTAATCCTGTGACCTGTGTAGGACTGTAATCTCTTCTCTATTGGCACAAGATTACTAGTTGATTTAATGACGTTATACATGCTGTATGCATGAGCGATTGTACAGCTCCTGTGTCTATCTGCACTCTCGTATCTTGTCCTCTATGGTAACAGTTCCCACCAATCATTGTGCTGGGGTCACTGTTTGGACGATACAGTGTGTATCAGATGAGTGTAATCTGTATTGTCATCGCTGTCATAGTCTATCATGTTTGCTGAGCTAGGTTTCCCTCTGCAAACTTTGCCAAAGTGCCCTTTCTTTTTGCACTTATGACAGGTTTGGTCCTTGGCTGGACATTCATTCTCCACAACAGGTACAGCAGGATAATCCTTGATCTCTGCTTTGTTGCGTTTTTTCTCTTTGACCTTGACTGCCAGGCTTGCCTTCTTGCTTGCGATGACCTTTGAACTTCTGCTTCCTTAGCACAGCATGTACTGTGGAGTCTTCTCTACACAGCAATGGCTTTCATGCTTTCTTGAGACAACTCGAAATTTTGACCTATATTCACCGCCATCTCAAGAGTAAGTTCATCCCCTTTTTCTAAGCATTTTTCTCTCACTTTGGGATTTAGCGATCTTAGAATGATAGCGTCTCTTACCATCCGTTCCTCTATAATATCAAAACCACAGTCGTTGATCAGTATTTTGAGTCCTGTCACGAAGTTGTCGAAGCTCTCACCTTGGTCGCGTTTTCTTCTGTTAAAGTTTACAGTTGTCCTTATTTGGTTCCTTTTCGGTGCCACATATTCACTGTACTTGTCATAGACTCCTTTAACGTTTTGTTTCTTGTCAGCCCATGAAAAAGTACTGTATATTTCTCTGCCTTTGTCACCTATGTAAGTCATCATATAGTTGACCTTTCTAGTTCTGACTCTTAGAAAGTGGCCCTTGAATGTGAATTCACAATGCTGTTTAAACCTTTTCCATTCCGTACCAAGATCCCCTGCTCTCCAATTCATAGCAGGTTTGTCGTGACTACCGCTTCTGCCATGATGTACGTGTTTTAACAGTCGTAAATTATACAGTCTGTTTATCGATTTTACTCCACTGCTAACACAATCATGCTCAGTTCACAAGTATCACTTTTTTCTTGGCATACGTTACTCACTCTTGTCTTGTTTACATTCGTCAAGTTGGGTTCTTGTTTCCATAAAAGTTAAAACGATGTCGAAAAGTCAATGGCTGCCGGCGGGAAATCAGCATTCAGGCGAGTCGGAACTTTTGACATATTCTTTTCGCACAAATCTTCAGTGTTGACGTCTCATACACAGTTCATTTAATGCCTTAAGTATTCGTTCCTATGTTCTCGTACTCACTTTTCCACTGTTTTTTATCTTTTCATGAAGTTATTCGAACTTCTGACACCATGTAATGTACTCGGTAGACAAGCGTGTAGTCGTAAAAGCGTTCTTTAATGTCGATCACGATATGACGTAACAATGTCGTAAACCATATGTCGTTAAATTTGTACAAAGTTCAATGCAAACCAAATTTTAGAGTGCTATTTTTATGCACGCGAGCTTGAAAAGTAGCCCCCAAAAAATAAATTTTTTTTTTTCCCTGACAGTTAGTGCTGATAGTATTAGTAGTGTAATTGTTAGATTCAAGGCATGGCAAAACAAGGACCACAATGTAATAAGGTGTGCTAGGTCATGCTTTTTGTGTATAATATCCTTGGTAGTTATCCAATTTTATGAATTCAGAATTTTATTGTAAAAGTATGCTATGTATTGTATATGATGGATAATTGCCTAAATAAATAATTAAATGAAAAAAATAAAATTTACGATTATATTTCGACAACGTCATAAAAATGTTCTTCATAGGACCAATGCAATGCCTCTGTAACTTTGTAAGTGTAACAAATGTGAGAGACTAAACTCCAGATTAGTAGAGGTGTTAATGTTACTGTTAGTGTCAGGAGTCTTAGAGAAAAATGACGAATCAACAATACAGCGACGATGGGATCAAGGGTCGGGACAAAGATAGTAACTGTTTGGGACCCAGCAAATGTGTTTACTGAATTTACTCATGTGCTAAACTAATCCGGGGTGCTAAACAGTAAACTAGGCTTGGGTCGCGACGATGGGTCATGTACAACTATAGCCCGACCAGGCTGTGCGACGGATTGTCTATACAGCCTGACACCCTTCCATACAAAAAAACCTATCACCTCTGGCAGATCTAGATGAATAACTCTGTATATCTCAAATAAAACTATTCTATTACCACCTTTGACTTGCCTTGTCTGAAATATGAACGTTATCTCACAGTTGTCCTGCTTCTAAACTAGAATGTACAGGAATGAGATTGGATAATTTAATTTTCAGCTGAAATTTAAATTAGCAAACAGAGGAGCGAGCAATGGAGGACCGATAGGTCATCGCCATGCTAGGGGGGTCCGGGCATGCTCCCCGTAATTTTTTTAAAAGAATGGTGCAATTGTGTGCATTCTAAGCTATTCTGAACACATTAAAGAGACTCTTGATCACCTTTCAAAGTGTCAAAGGAACAACGAACTATGAATAGGAAATCAAGGGCTGAAATAGGGCCTATTATAGGGGAAATAAGTTTTTTTATTAAATGTCTAGACATAATGATATTTTTCTGTTTCCACCCGTCGCTTGCATTGTTTTACTCAGACATAAGCTGCCTTGCTGCGACGACAGATTTGAATGAAAAAAACACAATGCGAATGGAACAATCAGTGCATAGTCATGGACACAACATGCACGCAGCAACATGAAACCCGGCCCCCCAGGCCAGGCATGGTCGTTACGTGATCAGCTACCTCAAATGTTTGCCCTCTACTACTGCAGCCTGTGACGAGGATTTTCTTTCCTGGTTCGCAAAAGCAGATACACTGTATACTTCGCTGTCAGTCTACTACTGTCTACACTCTACAGTCTACAGTCAGGCTGCTGATGAGTGGTATATAATTTAAATTGTTACATTGTTACCCCCTCCCAATTTTCTCAACGAATTTAGACGTTTCACAAAATCGACCACTGGGACTGTCAAATCCGCGGATTTCCGCGGATCCGCAGAAGAATCTCATCCCTGAATGTATCTCTTAATTCACGGTATAATCTGCTAATTCTCACAGCATATCAACTTTCCAATCAGCTTTACCCGCCATGTTTAGTGAGGCACGGAAAACCCGAAACGGAAAAGACTCGCTAGAAAATACTACAGAAGTAGTACAATAGCTGCACGATGGCTCTCACGGCAATTACACACCAAAGCAAGTGAAACGATGTTCACAAATGTCTGGGCCATTTGTAAAAACTTAGATGACATGTTCTCGGATGTAGGGGTGGTTTACATGAGGACCACAGATCGTTTAATTTCCCTTGTTCGATCCATTGCGGATTTTAGTCAGTCGGAATGATAGTAAACATGGTAGCAAATTCATAAATTTGGTTGTATTCGTCTCAAAAAGTCGCTGTAAGTTAACCCCGTAAGTACCCAGCGCATCGTAGCGCACTGATGGTTACAAAAAAGTGGACGTATACCGATTCATTTGGTATATCACATGTGTAGTGTTCTTTGGCGATACTTGGCAAATAAGGCAACTACGTGTTTAGCTGCAGCCAAGGTTTGAAACGGTATTCTAACCCTAGCAATACCGTTTCTTGGAGCTAGTACAACTACAACTACAATTACAAGGGCCCTGGCGTAGGATGAAGCCACCATGCATTGTCAGCAGACCTATCAAAGACAGAAAAAATTTTAAGTACACTTGACTTTAGCTCTAGTAGTAGTACTATAGCCCGCGTTCATTAACTGCCGCAGGCAAGTTAACCTGCGGGAGTTAATGAACGCGAGCTACTACTACTAGTACTACTAGAGCTAACTTGACTTGTGCCGCAATGCCAGCGGTGGCGCGGCAACTCAGCTAGCCGCATCTTTGATCGTCTGACTCTTAACCGGGAACCGTCGTTGCTCTTGCCCACTACGTCATAATTTACTAGCACGATTCCAATCAACACTGTACCTTTTGACTACGCCAGTCTTAATCCTAATATTTTTTATTATAGCGTCCGGAGCGGCCATAATGAAACAATAACAACGTTGTAACTGTAGACAGAGATGTAGACTTATAATTTGATTGCCGATGACTGTGTTCAACTGCCGCCACCTACTATGTGAAAGGAAGTTTTGTTTAGAGAGGGCGCCACATGGTAGTTGAATGAACCAAATTTTATCTTTCCTTTTTATCTGGTAAATAACTTCAAATTGGTTCTATGGTTTGTATATTGCCTATGTTACGTTTATGATAAGCACAATATATGCCGATGTATTCAAAGTTTACATGTATATTGAATTTAACACGCTAAACGGTTCAGAATCGGCAAATTTGCCCCCACATCAAGACCTCTTTCAGTATCACTCTCTGTGTTTGTCTGATCTTGGTCTCGTAGGCCTAGTAGTATCACTTCCAGGCAGTAGGGCAGATGGGATCGTTGTTTCAGGTACTACAGTCTGTACCCGAGGTAGTTTTAGGTTGTTTAGTATTATGTTTATATTTTTATATGAGGTACACTTTGTGTATACATATATCAGGAGCTAATAGTAATAATGACAATTTGTCATTATTACTATTAGCTCCTGATAAATGTACCTCGGGTACGTATCTGTAGTACCTGATACGACAACGACCCCTTGAGCGGCAGTAGGATGAATTTCGCCAAGATCACACCTCGTCTATAATTATATACAGCTTCATATAGATGTAGTGTGAGTGTGGTGGGCTTGATCCTGCTGCTATAGTCCGCAAATGCAGACGTTATAACTCCGCTTTGCTAATCTGAGGGTGCGGGTTTATTACTGGGTCTGCGTCGGCGTTACTGGGGTCTGCGTCGGCGTTACTGGGGTCTGCGTCGGCTCGGACTACTGCTGCTAGTGCGTATCACCAGCCTAGAAAGTGTGGAGTCTGTAGAGTGTAGTTCTACCAAGAACGAGGAAGAAGATCCACACCATAGTGTATGTCTGCAAGGCTAAGCCTACGCTTCCCGCTTACTCCGCAGTCCGGCTTACTCTAGCATTGGAACCCCATTATGTGCATCACCGTGGGAATGTTTATGACGTATACTAGCGCCCTAAAAATGTACCCGAGTTGCTCTTCGATATGCATTGTATTCCGTATGTGCTTTGTGTAATTTACTCGGGATATCATCTTCCACAAACTCAAATATGTGTACATGCTTAATTGAATAAAACACGTTTTTACAGCTTAGGGCATTAATTACCCAATTTTCTATGCATTATTGTAGGTGGCAGCCAATCGAATCGATAATCAGTTACTGCCGTGGCTATGATGACCACAAATGTGGGCCGTTCACAAAGGAATATCAACAACCGGAACAGCTTCGAAGATGACTTTGAAATTCCGATATCCGAAGTCTCCGTCGCCAAGTTCGAGGCTCTGAACAGTCTGGGCGGCGCGGTACACGGCGCGCACTACCTCGCGGGCGCGCCGATGCACCACAAGACGCACGAAGAGCTCCAGTCGTGCATGTTGTCAGGCCGAGCCGAGATGGAACGCCCGAAAGCCGAGCAGTTCGGCGTCGTCGCGGCGATGCACCTTCCGTGCGAACCGGCACACCTTCCTTGCGAAGCTCCGAAGAGCTGCGACGAGAATTTTGCCGAGGAGGACGACGGTGAGGAGGAAGAGGAAGAAGAAGAGGAAGAAGAAGACGAGGAGGAAGAAGAAGAGGAAGAAGAAAACGACGCCGCCACCGCTCCAGCCGCCACCGCCGCCGAAGCCGTTGCGGCGACGGGAGAGAACGCCGAGCAGACGTTCGACTTTGATAAGTACAGGGAGGAGACGTTCGGCACGGACCCGTCGGACGTCGCCGATGGCAACAACTCGAGCGAGCTGAGCGCAGTAATGGACGAGGAGGGAGGAATCTCGAGCGCGGGCATGCAGGAGCTCAACCTCAAGCTGGAGGTGAACGGCTTTCTGAATGGAGAGGGGAAGAAACGCTGGGAGTGCCACCTGTGCAACAAGGTCTACTCGACGAAGCACAACCTCATGATACACGTTCTCGACCACAGCGGCGTGAAGATGCACTCGTGCCACGTCTGCCGCCGCCGATTCAAGCAGCACAGCCACCTGCGCGCTCACCTGTTAATACACAGCAATACTCGGCCGCACGCATGCTCCGTGTGCAGCAAAGCTTTCACACAGGTGAGCTGTCGGTGCTCTAGGTTAGAGTTGCTAGAGTTGTTAGAGAGGTTGCTGTCGCGCCTTCGTGCCGGCGTAAAGCCGTGTCTTTGAGTAAAGCAAAGTTTTTGAGCGAGCGAATTTCGCTAGCCGACGTCGTGTCTTTTCGTTCGGACGCACATAAATTTGTACGTTTTTTTTTTATTAGTTGTTACGAGTTATTCTTATGACAAGTTATTGTTTTAACTTGTTCTTGTCTTGTCGGTGTGTTTATCCACATGTGTTGTCAGCTGGAGTGTCTCCTGCACAACTGTTTGTCTCTTCATCTGTGTTGTGCGTAGAGGTTTTCCCCCATAGGTGTCCATCACCTCACTTGGGTTGTGAACTAGAGTTGTTGTCGTTAATGTGTATCCTGGTATCTGTCCAGGGCTGAAATTTTGCTATGTCAAGTGCCGTTGTTTTCATCCTTACCCGCTGTGTCACCTCCAAAATTGGACGATATCCACGGGAATTGTTTACAGTGATTACCCTACCTGTTTTTCCTCTAGTTCCATTCCCACACATTTATTCCTCTTTGTCCTGCATGTTAACGTGATGTTAAAAAGTAATAGCTCTTAATAACCCAAGTTTAAAGGTAGTATTTGCGTCAATGGCCCCTCCAACTTTGAGTAAAATGACCGATCAAACTGACCAGTATATTGCCCTAAAATGGCCAATCCGAACTGACCAGTATATTGCCCTAAAATGGCTGATCAATTGACAGTTGCTCGGTCACCCGTCCCCTGCAGGCCATAGTGGACGCCCGTAGGTAACACTGTGTCAATTACCTATTCCTGCAAAACTTTCAGGTCACGCACTTGAGGCGTCACATGATTGCGATTCACGGGGACGGTAAGAAACCACACACGTGTCAGAGCTGTGGTCGAGGCTTCGCATTTCCCAGCGAGCTCAAGATCCACATAAGGTAACGTATGTTGGTAATCACTCACGTATATTTTGTATGTTGGTGCTGATAATCGCACCTAGAGCAAGTGAATATATATATATAAGTCACGAATATATCCTTGTAGTATATACTCGTACTGGTATATTTGTATAATCGCACTAGTAGCAATCCATAGAGAACGCTCGCAATTCAGCCTAACCATCTTTTGGGCGAAGTCGACATCTCGTTCCCCTACTGTAGGATTAACACCAGAAATCCGCCGAAATGTTGGCTCAGTTAACGACGCCATCTATAATCATGTATAATCTATAATTTATATCGTATAATCTATAACGACGCCATCTTCTTCCGTGACGTCATCCGCCGTGACGTCTTCTGTCGTGACGTCTTCTGCTGTGACGTCCTTTTTCGTGACGTCTTCTGCCGTGACGTCTTCTGTTGTAACGTCCTTTTTCGTGACGCCTTTTGTCGTAAAGTCGTCTGCTGTGACGTCCTCTTTCGTGACGTCTTCCAGTGTGACGTCTTCTTCCGTGACGTCTTCTGCGGTGACGTCATTTCTAATGACGTCTACTACCGTGACGTCGTCTGCCGTGACGTCTTCTGCCGGGACGTGTGCACGCGCGCGGTTTTGGAAAGGCGGCCGCAAAAATTAAGCAAGTGCAAAAAAAGGATTCGCCGAGCGCGGCGGGTGTTGCCTGCGCGCCGAGAGAGAGGATCTGCTGTGAATTAAACTACATGAGATGCTGGCGGTTGAGCGACGGTGCCAGCTGACGGAGGGAGGCGGCAGGGAGTGCGTGCGGTGTTGATTAATATTGCTGCTGCGTGTATGTGTGTATGCGTGTATGGAAGTGAGCGTGAGTGTGAGTGTGAGTGTCAGTGTGTGTGTGTGTGTGTTCGTGCCCGTTAGAGATGCACTGACATCAGGAGTAAGATAATATAGGATCCTATATTATCCTATATATCCTATATTATCTTACTCCTGCTGACATGTGATCGCGACTGTTGACGCGTGGTTGGTACAACTCACGCCGTGACTCCATCGTCTGCTATTCTGCTAGTTACCGTGTGGCTACCCACGTGACTCTATCGCCTGCTAGTTACCGTGTGGCTACCCACGTGACTCAGTTGTGTATTTGTTATTTATGCATTGTAAATGTTATATAAAGTCAAGTTGGCTTGGCAATTACAGGTGATATCAGTACGTATAAATTCCAGGGGACCATGTGTTAAAAAATTATTGATCCGCGTGTGTGTGCCTGCAAGGCTTTGTTAAATACAGCAACACGTACTGTATAAAGCTGACCGTTGCAGTGGCCCTCTCAATCATCGTTGGGCCGGGTTATAATTTAAACCGAGCGTGCACGAGAACACCCAAATGCCAGGTATTGCAACTTCAAAATCTTGTATGCAAACAGGCTGTCTGAGCGCACCCAAATTCCAGATATCGCTCCTATACATTAAAGTGTGCGCGTGTGAATCATGAGTGTACGAGAACATTTAAATACCAGATATCGCCCCTTTAAATAAAAGCATGGGTGTGTGAATCGCGAGTGTATGAGAGCACCCAAATTCCTGATATCGCCCCTTTTAATAGAAGCACGCGCATGCAAATGGAGAGTCTCCGAGAGCAACCAAATTCTAGATATCGTCCCTTTAACCAAATAATAAAAAAACCCTTGATAAAACCAGTAAAATAAACAAAAAACAAATAAAATTGCGAGTACTGAGAGCTTCCTCTTCCTCCTCCGCGCACGTCCGCAGGAAGATGCATGACCGTCCCGGCAGCAGCCAGTGCGGTGAGTGCAACAAGACGTGCACGACACCGGAGAAGCTGCTAGCGCACATGCAGCGTCACAGCCGCAGCAGCCTCGAGTGTAACGTCTGCCGACGCGAGTTCCTCTACCCGAGCCAGCTGAAGGACCACATGAAGTCACACAGCACTGAGCGGCCGTTCATGTGCGGCGAGTGCGGCATGGAGTTCCTCAAGGTAGCACGCGCGAGCACGTTCTCTTGTTGTTGTTTTATGCACGCGCGCGTCCGGAGGAGTCTGATGGCGAAAGCCAGTGAGTTTCTTTTGTTATTTTTTCTTTGTGCTGCTGTTTTCAAGACCAGTTTGGGAGGGTGTTTTTTGTGAGCAGTGCAGTGCCTTTAGCCTTAGAAGCGATAGGTAGGTGGGTGTGTAGGTTATCTGGGCAGTGTGCGTCGTGAATCTGAGTGGTGAGTAGATTCGTTATTTTCCCGACCAACTCGGAAAAAAACACGATGAATGGGATTTTATTTTTTATCGGCGCTCAGTTACCTGTTTACCACGGCACTGCGTGTAACGTTGGGAATGTGGCCTACAGTCAGTATATATTGTACAGTCGATTTCATGGTTGCACAAACTGATTAAAGGTCAGCTATTAGCAGCCATTAGAATGTTACTTTACTTAATTTAGAGAAAAATGTTAGCGTTAGTAAATGCGGTCAACCGAAAAAATTCGGCGCAGGTCGCGAAGACCAGTCTTCGCCTTTTGACGCCAATGTTTATTCGCATGGAGAGATATGATAAATAATTGATACGCCTGCATTGTATTATATATTTATTACATTTATAATATTTTTATGCGTCTGCATTGTATGAAGCCCACCTAAAAAATCATCAGCTGATGCACGAGATACGATAAATAATTGATACGTCTGCATTGTATTATATATTTATTATATTTGTTATATTTTTATAAGGCGATAGAGTCCCACGTGGTAGCCCCCACACGTAACTAGCAGACGGATGTCGTCCGTGGGTAGCCAACGGTAACTAGCAAGGCGGATAAAGTCCGCGTGCGTAGCCACAGGACGGGTAACTGAGCAGAATAGGCAGACGATGGAGTCACGGCGTGAGTTGTCCCAACCACGGCGTCAACAGTCGCGATCAACATTCCAGCAGGAGTAAGTAATATAGGATATATATGGATAATTATAGATCCTTATCCTATCTTACTCCTGATGTCAAGTGCATCTCTAACGGGCACGAACACCAGCCACACGACACTGAACACTGCACGACTCACACTCACAGCTCACTCCCATACACCGCGCAGTACACACATACACCCAGCAGCGAATATTAATCACACCGCAGCGCACTCCTGCCCCTCTCCTGCCGCTCAGGCTGGGCACCGTCGGCTCACGCCAGCATCTCAAGTGGTTACCCTCCTTCCCAGCAGGAGTCCTCTCTCTCGGCGCGCAGCGCAACACCCGCCGCGCTCAAGGCGAATCCTTTTTTTTGCACCTTGGCTTAATTTTTGCGGCCACGCTTTTCCGAAAACCGCGCGCGTGCCACCACTGCCGCCGCGGAGAGCGGGTATCGGTGGACGTCCCGGCAGAGACGTCCCGGCAGACGACGTCACGGTAGAAGCCGTCAGTTACAGATGACGTCACCCGCAGAGACGTCACGAAGAGACGTACAACGGAAGACGTCCCGAGAAGAGGCAACGTCAGCAGCAGAACGACTTTACGACAAAACGGCGTCCACGAACGAGGACGTATTACAGCAGAAGGCGTCACGGCGAAAGACGTCCACGAAAGAGGACGTGCCAACAGCAGAAGGACTTCACGGCGGATGAGTCACGGAAGAAGACATTATTAACGATGGCCGTCGTTAACTGGGCCAAGCATTTCGGCGGATTTCTGTGTTAAATCCTAAGTATACCCAGGGGGCAAGACCAGGTTTAGCCAGACGGGATGCTATATAAAGGTTGTTTGTATCAACCGTGTTTCAGGGACCTCCCTGACAACTTTCCAGGTGGACAACCTTGAAAATATGCTGCTGATAAAAAAATTGGCTGCCGAGGCCGGCCAATTTTTCAAAAATGGCCCACGCCTTGTGTAACTAAGGATGACCGTTTTTAAGAATATTGTTTGAATAGAAATCTTGCTTTCACATGTGGTGTGGTATCATATTAAAAGGGAGATTATATTTTGCTACAAGATGATACCACATTTAATGAGCTTCAGGATGGATTTTTAATGGCCAATTTTGGGCAAAGAAAATGTGATTTTTGTACCATTTTTTTCCATAAATATGAATTGCAGCCAGAACATTTATTTTTCATCGCATATTTCAAACGTCCTTTGAGTAATGAATTGGAACTTTTCAGAAAACTGCCCATATGTATGGGTTAATATTGTTCGCAAAAGCTCAAGTGTTATTGGCTTTTTAACAATAAAGTATATTACTCCAAATTCACATTTTGATAGTAACTAAACAACAGCATTTCTGTACATTATAGGGGGGATTACAGCGTTGTCATGAAAATAGCTCCCGTAGGATTTTTTGTTGCCTCAAAATTCGATTTTTTGCTATTAATCGAGTTTGATTTAGGGGTGAGAACTATCAGAAAATGGGCGGTTCAAGTTAATTGTAGTTTTAATTTAGTTTAATTTCCCATTTTATATGAGTAATGTTCCTTCTGCTTTATTCTAAATCTGTAAGCTGAGCAATGAAAAGAAGAACACACACAAATAGATAAAAAGCGTTTTACTGTCATTTAATTGTGAAGCAGAATAAGGACAGAATGACAAATATACCTTGGACACTATACATGCGAACATAAAATACCTGTCACTCGTGGCGTTTAGTTAATTGTCAACTCGGTCCAAGTCACTGCTTGTCACTGGCTTTCAATAATATTGCAGTGTACCTGAAGCACGGCTGCACTTTGGTTGCTGATGCCTGGCAGCGACATCCCAGTGTAACATGGCACCAGGCCTTGCTTCGCGACAGGAACAGTTTCCTGTTGCACACCCCTGTGTGGCAGCCACAGCGGCGCGATGGCCTTGCTTTGTGCCATTGTCTGCAGGCCCAGGCTGGTTGAGTTGAAGGACTTGGCGACCAAGTTTCCGCATCCTGCAGAGCCCCAGCCATACTCCTCAATGGGGAAAGCTCTGGCCTGCCAATGTGTGCACTCTTTGTCTATGAAAGTTGCTAAGCTGCACGTCGTAGGTGTTGCTCAAGAACATCCATCTTGCTGTGGTGGTAGCAGCTTCAGCAGAGTTGAACTCTGTTCATTCAGGAATTTGTTGACCCTCAGGTTTTCCAATATCACACCTCCCCAAGTCACAGCTTTGTTAGAGTACACAGTGATGCACCAGCTTGCGTGCCCTGGTCGATAGAAGTTTCTCAGATGTGATGTCTTGCTGACGCTTGCTCGCCAAAAAGCTTTCAAGTTTGAGATATGATGTGTAGTCTTTGCTACTGCTCATCCAGGTCTTCTTCCCAGTGAAAGCAAAGATAGGCTTGTCGTGCTCTTCACTCAGATAGTGATAAATGGTAGTGCACGACACCGCGAAGGTCCCAGTGCACACGCCATTTAGTGTATGGGGTAGGTATTCTCGCGTGCAGTTCTCGCCCACAGTTCCAGGAAGATGCTTCCAGAATAGTGGTCGCATAGTAAGACACAGATGATGATGATATCCGTGTCATGCCGTGAGATGATCACTCTCTGCAACATCCTCGATTCTGACGCTGTATATAGCATACTCTGTATCAGCCCCTGCTGTGCAGACTCCCAAGGCAGTGACGTCTCAGTTCCGACCCTTGCGGTGAGCAGCACATCTCAGGGTTTCTTTCGCTTGAATCCTCCGCCCTAGGTAAAGGCGAGTTGAACCCAGTGCTGGATCCTAGCTGTTCACTCTCCGTCCATGCGTCTCAGCGACCCGGAAAGATCAGGTTTGTTGCTGATACCTGCAGAAGAATTCTTGTGGGGTCTGAGGGGCTCAGTACTGCTCACTGACTTCAAACACCCTTAGGGCTGGTCTGGATCGGCGCGTACCCTGTGCTGGCGCTCTGCTGATTTTGAGATTTGTTCACTGTATCGGTCCAACAGCCAGAAATGTATGATCCCTGTGCAGCAGGAACATGCTTTCAAGCAGGCTAGTGCTTGTAGCGATCAGGCAAAATGGCTCTGAACTCGTTTCATCTTTCTTGAATGACCAGTGGCCGTAATGCATGGCATTCGTCACCCACACTGCCTGTCTTCAGGTCCTTGTGCAGATCAGCAGAACACTTGGTCACGTATTGAGTGTCTCCTCCGTCAAGGTCTGTCACCGAGACTAGCCGTTTGTACCTGCCGCCCCCATGCTTTCACCTTCATTGAATAAAGACGGGGGCATCTTACTACCCTCATGGTTTTCCCATAAAGTTGACGATGTCCGACATGTTTCCCACGGCCATGATCTGTGTTATGCGAAGAAGGGCAGAACTCTACTCTCATCACTCCTTGTCTGGTGCAACTGTTCGCTTGCCGACTTCTTTTGGCTTTGAATTTTGCGTGGTGGAAGGTTTTCAACCTCACGATGTTGACGTCTGTCTTTTGGAACACTGGAATATGGAACTGGACATGAGCCTTCAGACCTAAGTTCCTTCACACCGATGAGCGTGTTGCCTGGACGTCGGTGGCCCTCTGCACGCTGCCCACCGTTGATAGATTACACAGGGATGGCATTGTTGCTGAGAATGGGAATTGGTCCTCCATGTGCTGCTATCACTTTCCTGGAGCGCATCTGCTGACATCCCTTGGCCTACTCGTGTTGTTCGATATGTAGTTCAATAAAGTGTAGTATTATAGCTGGAAGAACAGTGATTTTGTCAGCGAGGCGGTACTCAGTGGGCCAAGACTCCCTCAAGAATGCCTCTGGTAATCACTCCCAATGTAGGACGTCTGCGATGGGGTATTGACGAGGTCGTTTACACACTGAATTTCCTTTACGATTTCCATGTATATGATGTAAATATGATATGTGACTGAACCAAAATATGTCTTACGGCTACTAGACTGTTTGATATGTAAGAAAATGTTGGGCAAGTAAATCCAATATTCGGGAAAGAGAAAATTGCTTCTTGTGCAGACAGACCAAGCCGAGTATTGCTGACTAGTACGATTTCCTAACTGGCTAGGTCGCGATAGCCACTTAAAGTGGCTCTTATCTCTGTTGATAGACTATCTG